AAAAAAGGCCGCTGATTGGTCGCTTGCAATCGGTTAAGTGAGTAATGGCTCTCGATGCAGGTGCAATTGACGGTTTCCGGGAATAGATAAAGTTCTCTACTGACGTTCCTTGCTCGGATCATTTGTACCCCCTCCTCCCATCCCCACACACACACAGCCACACGTGTGCTGGCCGCTCATCCAACCCTGACACATGCTAGAGAAGACATGTGCGCGTGCCAACAACGCATGTGTTGGTATAAAAAAAGGCCGCTGATTGGTCGCATGCAATCGGTTAAGTGAATAATGGTCCACGATGCAGGTGCAATGGATGGTTTCCGGGAATAGACAAAGTCCGTTCTGGGAGAAAAATGAGGGAAGCCACATCTGCGGGGGGGTGTTCACCTTGGAAGCGACCTCGTTGAATCCGAGGTCCCTGATTTAAGTGCTCGTTGAATTCGGGTTATTTTTAATTGATTTTAAAGAAGAAAAAAAACTGGGAATCTATCTCATCTCATTGAATCCAAGTTCCACTGCAGTCCCTAGCTATCAAACTGCCAGCTACTATGGGATGGTGGATGACTTGTACTTCCAAGTGCACCCCCCCATATTAAGAAAAATACCTGATGACACATGCACTTAACTCACTTAGCACAGTACCTGAAATATCACCATTATACTAGCATGGCTTTAAATCTAAAGGACAATTCCAGAGACATCGGTCCAGGAAAAAAAAATTGCCAAAAAATTGATACACGTGAGTGTTGTTTATATAGGGCGCAAGTTCCCTCAGCTCTCGTAGTGCACCATTGTGTTGTGACCGCACCACTTAAAATTCAGTCAGTCTAGCAATTTCGGATGTAGAGACAATTGCTGTAATAGCCAGGGGAACAAAAGCATCGACAAGTTTGCAGTTCGATGTGATAACATCTAATGCAGTCTTGTAGGCCTTATCCACCCTGCGTTTGATGAAAGTTCAGATGGAGAGTTCAGGAGCAAGTGCAATGTTTGGGAAAAAACAAAAATGAGTCCACAAATTCACACCTTGGTGTGATCTCGTCTGGGTCAAATATTGTAGGCCTACTGTTTTATTGAAATTTACAATCGAAATGTGATTACATTCACAAGAGAGGATGATCTGTGACGCAACGGGCAATAAATGTACTACAAATTTTTGCTGCTTGTGTGATCTGCTATGCCCGCCCTGGTTTTTGTTCCACATTATGATCTGAAATGTGGGATCTCAGCAGCCAAACATAATCCTTCAGAGTGGAATCTCAGAGGTGAAGTAAAAATTATGTTTTCTTATAACAACAGGATCTTAAGCCAACCAGGATCATAAGCGGTGGGTCTTAGGCGGAGACTGCTGTATAAATATAATACTACAGTAGTCTCCGCCTAAACGCACGGTGCTCAGGAGGGCTCCTTAGCATGTGTTTATACGGAGCATGCGTTGTTTACATGAACCTTTGCAAAGGGAGGAAGGAACGCAGTCATCTCATGGCCCTGATATTCTAGTTACCTCCCTTGGGGTGGGGGTCACTTTGGGCCGATAATGTGATGACACGTGACGGTATTGTGAAGGATTCCCCGATTGCGGTTAAGAATACAAAGGCGTTGAATGGGTGTGTGTGTGTATGGGGGGGGGATACAGACTCAATGTATTGATATGCACCATAAAATGTCCGGAACAGATAGCGTAAAAGGAAACTGTTGGTGATAGTCATAAAGTCGACGGCCCAGCCACGTGACTTTCCAAGCGACCGCCCCCGACCGTAAATTCATGGACAAGCATTCATGCATGTTTTGCATCATAGACCTAGGTCTAACCAAACATTACATGCAGTCATCCAAACACCAGTCAGAAACCCAGTGACCAATCAAATAACATTTCAGTCACCCAACCCCCCAACATTTCACTGACCAGTCCTAGACCTATGTACTGTCTGTGGAAAGTTGGATGTGAAAACGCTGTCCATCACCCTCTTTGTTCGGCGTGAGGGGCAGTCTCACCAAATAGCATGCTGTTTTGGCTTGTCTTATGCAAGCTGTGCAGATTTCCCTTTGTTCAGCTTAACCTGTCGGCGTGTTTCGCGGATTGGAGCGTGCGTTTAGAGAGAGTGACCGTGCGTTTGTACGTCTAAATTATGTAGTAAAAAACCCGTCAGATTACGAAAGTGTGCGTTTGAACGGAGCGTGCTTTTGTGTGGCATGTGTTTAGGCGGAGGCTACTGTATACTTCTTGTTTTGTGATAACAAATAAAAATGCCCCCAAACACCACCATTAAAAAGTGTCAATTGAGTTGCCCCAAAGTCCTCAACATTTTTTCAAATGCAGAATACATTTTTTCAAAAGTATTGAACATTTGACACACAGAAATACTGTACACATTATTATACATCCAAAATTAAGCATGCCAAATTTTAAAAGTTGAACTATTTTCACAAGTTTAGAATTAATTTTTGGCAAAAGAGGTAGTTGGCCAGTCAAGAGTGCTTTACTAATAGATGTTGATGACAGTCCTGAGTGAATTAACACTTCCTTCTTTGGCGTAAAGATATAATTTTAGGTGCAAGTTACAACTGCCCTCACTATTGGAGAACTTAAAACTCAAATTGCCATCAAGTCAAAGAAGAACACTATTTATGAGATTAGATAAAATTAGAATAATTTTTTTAATTAGTTCACACAATTAACACTTTTTCACATTTTTTGTTCAAAACAATGCAGTAGGAAATACAATCATTCGAAGAAGCAATGTGAATAACCCTGATCTCATATTAAGAGTAAAACAGTAAAAATTGACATGTAATGAACCAAATAGTACCTTAGTGACTTTCATTGCCATGCCCTCAGGTAGATTTCTTTGTATGTACTCTAGAAATGTACTGGCAGTAGACCCTGTGATATGCTTCAGCTGCCGGTGAAAGAATATCAGAAGGAACTCAATAAATTTTGTATGTGAGAATATGTGTGGGTCTGGGAGTTGCACATGTGGGTGTGTGCATGCTCATGTGTGTGCTGGTTGTTAAATGGGTCTCACATGTGCTTTTTCTGTTCTTTCATTTGTCAATTACGTAGAGTAATAATTTTGAATTGTACAGCCCATCGAACCTTCTAGAGATAAGATGTTATATAAATTCCAATTATCATTATTACATGGAAAGAAAAAAAAAGTCGAATGTAAAATCTAACCCCATGAATTTCGAGCTCTAGGTAGACACACCAACACCAAAAGATACAGTATTTCAAAAATTAAGAATTCCTTTTGTAAAACACTATAGAGCATAGCGATAGCCTTTATTACTGAAACCAAGGAAAAGTTACAGACAGCGATGAAGCAATTTTCCAGCATATTTTCCAAGTTAGCCACAACCTCTTTACATTCATCACAGAACAATTTCTCTCACTTTTTCTTTCTTTTCTCTTTTTTCTCTCAAGCTGTTTCTCAGACTCATAACCGTAAGGTCTTGGGTTCGAATCCCATCAGGGGTCCGATGTTATGTCCTTGGGGAAGGCACTTTACACAAACTTTCCTCACTTCACCCAGGTGGGAATGAGTACCCAGATATAGACTTTGTGACATGGTCATTGAATATACCATTTCAGCCTTTAAGATCGGTGAAGAAAAGACTTTTAAGACCTGTCCAAAGCAAAAATCAAAGACTCGGAGGGAAAGCTTTATCACACCACGCCCCCTCCCTGTGGAACGCTTTGCCAGCTCATCTACGGGAGTCTACCACTTTAACAAAATTCAAATCAGCACTTAAAACACATTTGTTTCAGTCCAGCTTCAATCTGTAATTTCTGACATTCCCAAGTTATTATGTTCTCTAAGTATCTATTATGTTCTCTCGGTATCGTTTATATAAATTCATGTTGTTCTGTTCTGTAACAATTTAAATTTATGACTGTGTGATGTCATCAATGTGTATGAGGGTGTCTGGGTAAATTTTGTGGGATTGTCTTTACTCAAGGATGTACAGGAGAGAGAGAGAGGGATAGAGAGAGAGTGGAGAGAGAGAGAGAGAGAGAGAGAGAGAGAGAGAGAGAGAGAGAGAGAGACAGAGACAGAGACAGAGTGAGAGAGAGACAGAGACAGAGACAGAGTGAGAGAGAGAGAGAGAAAGAGGATTACTATAGGAGGTGTGCGCTGCATATGTTCTTTGTATTATTGTACAGCGCATTGAGCACTTCTTTGTGGAAATGCGCTATATAAATAAATGCAATTTATTATTAGTATTATTATTAAAGATCTTGTCACTTTATCATGTCTCACTTTATTAGTGTTTGAGAACTTAATCAGCTGCTTGCACTGTATGCTTCCTGGAAAGCTGAGAATGTTTCTGAGTGTTCTATTGTCTGTTGGGGTAATAATATAGGGTGTACAGTAAAGCACATGGAGCTTGCTGTCGAGCAGTGGTATGCGCTATAATATTATTATTATTATTATTCTCACTCCCTCCTCTGGGGGTGTCTGTGATGGAATGTGAAGACAACCTGCGCCTCATATGATGTCTCACTTTTCAAAATAATCCAGCAAACTATAGTCTTTTTCTTTTCAATCTCAACTGTAACTAAGTTTTTATCTGTTAAACCAAGTAATTTGAAATTAAAACCCTAAAGAGTTTGCATACGATGGCCGTACTGTCCCAAGGTGCACATGCACATATATATATATATATATATATATATATATATATTTCATTGAAATAAAAATCTCTTTCTAAATTGAATTTCAGATAAAATTATTCTTTTCTCACCTCTATGACTTTATACAGAGTTCTTGCTTCATATTGGTGAAAATGCTTCTTATGAACAAACACTGACTTGAGTAAACTCAATCTTGTGATCACCCTGGGGGGTTCAAATCTGTAAATTCAGACCAAAAAAAAGTACCGTTACAGTCTTTATAGATCAGTTCAGACAATTGACAAGCTGGACCACAATAAAATTGGACAAATATGCAAGTTTCCTTACCATAACGTATACTACACAATTTCCTCTCTTTGCAAACAATATGTCATCATTCATCCAAGTTTTTAGGTCTAAGTACAAGTTTTACTGCACTTGCAACACAAAAAGGTTGATGATCAGACGTGAAACAAGAGAGTAACACAAAAAAAGGAGGAGAGATCAGAACGATAGGTGTTTGATAGAAAAGAAGAAGCAAAGCACACCAGAGCACCCACCACCCACTTGCTCATCCATCCAAGTTTGTGACAAAATCCATAAAATTTTAATTAATTAGAACAAACGGCAAATGAAATAGAGCTTACATTATCAATACGGCAGAAAATCAACATATCAAAACTCTTTGAAGGCTAATTTGTATAAAATTTGTACCATTACAAAGAGCCTTTTTTCCTGGACTTATCAAATTTCACATTCAGACGTGATTACAAGTAACTCCGCCACACACACCCAATTAAAAAGCAAAAACAAAACTTTAAAAAACCCACCAAAACAATTGTTAAAAAAAAACAAAGGCAAAACATGCACACTCAGAACACACCACAGCACACACATACCCATACACACTGGGAAAAACAATAAAACAAAACAAAACAAAAAAGCCCTCTTTGACTTGGATAAGGGACCATTCACAAATGACGTCAGCTAAAATTTGGCCAAAGATTACCCCACATCCCCTGCCCCCTTGTCATCTTTCCCAGGAACCCCCCCCCCCCCCCCACCCGTTGACGTCAATGAAAATGTACATATATACATTTAGATAGAACCTGTACAGGATGCATTTTATATTTACACCTTTGATCTATATTTTAAATTTTTAAAATAAAAACTAAGCCATTGTTTATTAAAGAATACAACAAAGAAATACCTGTATTGTCAAATTATTTATTACCAACTTTAACCAATCAAGATAATTAAAACAAAGAGATTGGATATCACAGACTGGAAAATAAACAAAAGCAAAAAGATTGGAGCATCATCTCAGCTTGGAAAAAATAAAGGGAGTGCTTATTTAGGCCACATATGGCCTAAATAAGGTAAGGGAGGGGGGTTTAGCTTATTTAGGCCACAGGTGGCGAAATACTAGGTTTTAGGATGTGAACTCCGGAGTCATCTTAGTGAAATAAGGTTTCGTTTAAGTAAGGATTGGTGGACCGCGGGGTCAACGTAGTGATAAATAAGCAGGTTTAAGGTGGACCCCGGGGCCCAGGGAGGGTCTACCTAGCGAAATACTAGGTTTTAGGACAGGTGAACCCCGGGGTCACCGTAGTGAAATAAGTAGATTTTTTTAAAGATCAGTGGACCCCGGGGTCACCGTAGTGAAATAAGTAGGTTTCTTTAAAGATCGGTGGACCCCGGGGTCATCGTAGTGAAATAAGTAGGTTTAATTTTAAAAGGATTGGTGGACCCCGGAGTCACCATAGCCGTAGAGGAATAAGAAGGTTTAATTAAGGATTGGTGGACCCCCGGGACACCGTGATTAAACCTGCTTTTTTTTACTACGATGACCACATGGTCCACCTATTCTAAAACCTAACTAGTATTTCGTTAGGTAGACCCTGGGGTCCACCTTA